CGGCTGCCCTTTGTTCTCGGGCTCCGGGGAAGCGTCCGTCGCCGGGCGCTGGCGGGGGCGGCGAGGTCTTGGCCGACGGAAGCCGGCGTCGCTTTTCGAGCAGCTTCGCGCCGGCCTGGTGGGACGGGAGCGTAACTCAACGTGAGTATGCCGCCTTGTAAGAGCGGGGGAAGGTAGGTGTCGATGAAACCGGCTGGTGTAGCCGCTTCGAGGTTTCCACTGCAACCTCTTCCGAATTTGCTGGTCTTTATTCCCTTTAATTCCTAGCGTTACCGTTGTATCGATCTCTAGTTTTGAGGCTTGCGAAGGAGACTATGCCTCGCTGGTTCCGCGTGGAAATAATCCCACGGTAGCTCGCGTTGCTTGCAAGGCAGGTGCTTTTGCCTGCCGCAGCTACAGTCCGAGTCTGTCATAGTCTCCTTTTTTTCTGTCGTCTGAACAGGAAGGAAGGGCCTTTCTGCTAAGTTGCAGGGGAAGTTCAAGAGCTGAAAAAGGTTAGCATGAGGCTAATGTGTTTGAAGAAAATGAGGTTAAAATCTTGAAGAATGCGATGCGAACTTGTGTTTGAGTTTTCCAGCGACAAAGTGACTTAAGTTGTGGACTAGAGGTAGGACAGAAAAGCAGATCTCTGAGTGCAGCACGACCACGTGAGAAAGTAAGGTGATTGATGAAGGCGGGAGGAATGAGAAATTATTAGTCCCCCTGCCCCCGACTGTTGTTAGGTGTATCAATGTAATAGGCTTCGTAAAGTCTAACCCTGTAGGTACTGTCATGACTTTGGCTCCTTTGGGAATGTTTGCACAGCAGTTTTTCCAGCATACCTTCTGTAGCTCTTCATTTCTCTGTATTTTCGTTTGCCTCAGTGTAATCCCTTGATAATAACTCGCTGGGATGAGAAGAAATTGGATCTTTGAGGGAGGTGACTTAGGAAGAAATGCTTGCTTTTGTTATGTGTCGCCTGCATGGTACCTGTCTCTTTTCGGGCAAGTCCTTTTCAGTTACAGGGCGTGAAAGTTGTACCTGTCCAATACAGCCATTTACATAAAGGCTGCAGAACCCGAGTGAGTGTCCTCTGTGGTTTGACCAAAGGAGGGCTTAACTTCATTGGCAAGTACAGGGCAGCTCAGTTTCGGCCTTTTGTTTTCCTGCTTAAATTAGATAGCGTTGTCTGTCATCTTGAGAGCAGAAGGGTTAATAAGGCTTGTTAAGCAGTTGTACTAGAAAGTAACTGCACAAGACAGAACAAATCTTAATCACGTAGGTCAAGCGCGGTGTTCTTGAAGTTCCGTAGTCCTTAATGCTAGCGGAGCAGAACCCTTTTTGAAAGGATTTAATCAAACGATCTCCTTCAAAGTGCAGAGCGAGAGCTGTGATTATTTTCCGACGATGGTTGCCTCCTGGCATTAGGAGGCGCAAAATGACCAGAATTGGGATATGTGCGTGATGAGCCACCTTTTGCGTTCCTTTTCTGGCCTCAGACTGGATATGTTTTTCTTTTACCGGTGTCAAGCATTGTAGGGCAGAGAATATTTAAAAGTGTTGTCTGCCACTCCTTTTGAAAGGATGTACGAAGTCACCTAAGACCAGGTAATGTGGATTTATAGCACAGAATGTTACAGGTTTTGTAAAGAAAGCCATAGCCGGTACTGCTTGGTCCCAGTACCCTGTATGTTGGCCGTGGGGGAACGGTGAGTTTTCTGAGAGACTTTGTTGTCTGTCGCTTCTACGAGGCGAGATGGTTGAGCGTGACTACTTGGAAGAGCAGCGTGTCTCAAGGCGAGTTTTGTTCTTGTAAGAAATGCATAGAATCAGCCTTTACAAGTATTGTGCAGGTATGAATGCAGACGGGCTGTCTGCCTACCATTGCGTACCCCTGTTCCCCTGCTGATTTAACTGCTAAATTGTATCTTCTGCCTGTTACAGATGGATGGGGGAATTGACTTGTTCCGGACTTTACCTTTCTTAATGCTTGTCTTATGTATGTCTTGTCTTCCGATGTTGAGGTGTGTCAGAGACCCTGCTCGTGAAGCTGGGTGTTGCTTATTGCCACCGTTTTGCACGGATTTGGTTCATTGGACCTGCCTCACTGATGCTCCCCAGGTAGTTTTTATTGTTTTCCTTTTGAAGAAACTAAGTTTTTGTTCCTTGTTCCATTGTGTTCAGTCCTTTGCTTTCCCACCTGTAGTTCTCTCTGCTCCATGCGTGGCATGACTTCTCACCTCCTCCTTCCTTTGCCTTGTTAGACTGACTTACCAAACGTTAGATTGACTTGGAAAGGTTGGCACAGTTTCTCCTTCACTGCTACTTGCGATAAGTGAAATTGTCCTTTTTAACAGAAATGTAGCCACACCCAGTCTCTCTTTCCCACCTTAGATCTAGCTGGCTAGCATTAGAAAATGGGAATGGATGTTTGTATCCCTGTACAGGCTCTGATAGTGTCAAAGGACAGGCTATTCAAAGTTGTTCGTTGGTTTTAGCGTGAGCTTATCCTCTGACAGGTTTTCAAGAGACTGAGTGCTCTGTTCCCAAAAGGTTGGTGGAAAAATGGATCTTTCCACAAAGGCGCAGTTGGTCTGCCAGATACGGGGATAAAGATCAGGTTAACCATCAAACCGTAAGCTGTGCCTGCTTTTGTGAATTTGGCTGTTACTTCTCTGGTGATTATTTGTCTTTTAATTTCCTTTAATGTCGTGAATTGCTTGTGCTTAGTTGTCAACAACTGAGAAAATGGTAAGGTGCCCGTTCCAAATTGGGTAAGAAGTTTTCATAGCTGGCAGTGGGGGGAAAAATTGACTGGCCCTGTTGTTGTATTCAAGTCCCATTTCTTGTACTGGTTACTTGAACGAGTTCAGAAGCCTTCATCGTACTCTAAAAGAGAGTTAGAAAACAGTTCCTTAAGTATACCAAGGGCAGGAGGAGTCCAGAGTGGGGGCCTGACTCCTCTGAGAGATGGTAGGACTGATTACAAGTAGTAGCCTAACGAGTAGCCTAACCGGGCTATGTTCTTGATCTTACAGGATCAGGTACAAGAAGATTGAGAGGGTGGCACTGTATAAGGCGGATGTGGGACTACTACCTGCTGCAGGCTGTTGGAACTGAATCTTTTGTCTGGAACTAAACAAGACTAGATTATGTAGCGTAAGATTATGCTCTCGATAGTTACACTGGGTAAGATGTGAGAAGCTTGGTCTGGTGTTTAACATGTCAGCTGCTAAAGTTCTTCCTTCTGCCTGCCTCCATTCCTTTCTCCCTCCTTCCTCCTCCCCGCCTTCCCCTGGTCGTGCAAATAGCTAGCTGCAGCATTGAACCCGAGATCCACATCCTGAAAAAGCTGTTGTTTTTGCTGCGGAAAACTTCTGAGTGTCAGGATATGCTCAGCTGATTTATCGTGTGGAAGCCAAAACCCTGCAGATCCTGCTGGTGTTGAACCCTCAAAGACAGCTCTTTATTTTGTGATGGAAAGTAAGTTCGTTCTGATACGATGCATATTGTATTGAGGGGATCCGCTGCCGTGAGTGACGCTTAGTGGCTCCCCTGCAGTTGGCTCAGTACAGTGCACAGCAACTGCTTCTTCTCTTTTCAACACCTGACAGGAAAGTAGAGGGCCTTTCTCTGGGACAGAGTACACCCAGGCAGAGGCCGTCTCTCTTCAGAGAGAGGGACCGAACAGAAGCGAGAAGATCTGTGAAATGCCCCTCTGCCCCACCCCATAGAAACGCACCCTCTCGTCCCGTGCCCCTCTTGTCAGAATGCTGTGGCCATGGTGGCCAAGTGTCAGCAGTCACCCATATCTGATGCACTGTGCTCTTCCGTTGTGTGCCGAATTCCTCAGATTCTCACAAAATGACCTGAATTTCTACGTTCCAGAATTTAGAACTCCTGTAAAGTGAAGATTAGCTGATGGCTGAAATGGCACAGAGGCCCCTGGAGGGCCATGCTTCGGTTTCTGCTGCAGTCGTTCCTCAGAAAGCGGCGTTGCCGCAGTGAGTTGCTGGGTCTAAAAGCTGTTCTCTGAGGTGGGGCCTGGAGGTTACCCTGGGGGGCTGTGTCTTATGTGGGTTTCTGGATAAGATCGGGAGTTACCTGGAGCTGCTTACATGTGTTTAACTGGGAAAAATACTCCATCTCGGACCCTTTTCTTCTCACGCCCCTCAGGTGTCCCATTCCTGCCAATGCCTTGCTTTTGAGCCGTAGAATTCCAGTGCTCAGCCCCCTGGTCCTCATAAAATGGGATGAAGTGACCGATCATGTAACTGGGAAAGAGATAACAATGATCTTTTTGCGAGTGTTTCCTCCTTGTACCTTGGAATTAAGACATGGAAATTCTTTTGGACATGTGGAAGAAATGGCACAGACTTCGATCAGGGATGGAGATGGAAGACTTAGTGTGGGCCATGAATCCAAGTAATGCTTACAAAGTCATGGAGATATGTAATTGTTGCTCAAGATGACTACTTATGTAATGATTTCAGTCACTTTGCAATCCATATAGAAAGTTACTGTGTTGCAATGTTTGGCCTAGACTCACAACTGTGCTTTATAACACAGTTATTTTTGAGGTATCTGTCAGGCAATAAAACAACTGAAAATTAGCATTTTGTCTTTTAGCTGGCGTTTCGGTGTTGAGTTTTTGCAAGATGCGTTCTCTGAGGAACTCTTTGCTGACTTATATGAGAACTTTCATGTTACAGCCTGTAGTGCTGGGGGGCTGTACCAGTAGAAGAAGAAGTAAGACCGTTTTAGTCTCCGTTGCAACTTCGCTAACATATTGCAAGGCTGAGTAACTTTTCGTGCCATGCCCTGAGGAATTATATTTTCAGGTGATCTAGGGGGCTGCCGAATGAGAAGAGGGTAGGGACTTAATAATATGAAAGCACTAACTGTAACTGAGAATTTTTTTTAAGCAATACTCCTCTGGTCTTTTAAAAGTTTGGTGCGATTAGGGGAAGTCAGCCTCAGGTTGACTACAGTCTTCTCCTTGTAGTCCATGCACACCTTCTGAAGAGTGCAGAACAGACTTGTTCTGGGCTCAGTGTGTGTTAGGTTTCTTTGTTTTGTTGTTGTGATGATGTTGCTTAAAGGGTAGTCCTGCCATCTGCCGAGGCCTTGAAGAAGAAGCTGCATCTCCTTTTTTGCTGTGCATTGTAGTTCTCAGGTAAACCTCAGTTTAGAACTGATGGCAATTCTGTTGTTGAAAATAATTCCATTGTTGAAAATGCGCTAGCCTTGTATTCCGCTGTGGCCCGCTCTGCCCCGGCCCCCCCCCCCGCCCCCCAGGCC